TGCAGCTTCATGAAGGAGAGTTCTCCCACCACCACCACTATCACTACCACCCATTTTTGCAAATAAGTCCTCTGTGACAGATTGGGTATTTATTTAGCTTCAAAGAGCGGTTTACTATTTGATTAAAATCCCCACAAGGCAAACTGACCCTGCCGGACTTCAGTCAGTACGTCCAGTCCTGCCCTTTTTGATTCTTTTGCTTTCCAGCCTCCTAATTTCTGCTTCTATTTTTGCACATGAGGCAAATGGCACTGGATGAGCCTTGCAGATTCATGGATTTGCTTCTTAGTAAACATTGGCCCTGTTGATGGTCCCAAAAACCTCTGGGTAATTAATTGGGACTTTGCTAAGGTAACCGTGTTCTAATTGAGAAATGTTGAACCAATCTAGGTGAATCTTTCTCAACCAGTTTCTCCCCATCAAGTTTCAACCAGAGCCTTTTATTGCAGTCAGTGGTAACAGAATCAGCTGCTTCTCATAAGAGACTGGAACTGAAGTTATGCTCAATCTACAGGGATTCTCTGGTATAGGTTCTCAGCCTGGCTGAGGCCTTACACAAATTTTAAGGGTGGGGGTCCAGAGTGTTTTTGTGTTCTTTTTGTTTTTTTGTTTTGTAAAGACTGGTTCCACAATCACTAATACTGTCATGCCAGTATCAACCTCCATGAGAACGGAGTGACCATTTAACCAGACATTTGTTCTTGATTGGGAAATAGCAAGAACTGCAGATCCTGGAGTCAGCAGCAACTGCAGGAAGTACTACACCTGTCCGTAGACACACGCACGCACACACCCCAATTCAAGGCACAAATCAAACCTTCCACATTAAACAGGGGGTTCACCTGCACATTGTTGCAGGGAAAGGTGCTGGAGTGGAGGGGTTAGTGGGGAGTGTGGAGCGGACAAGGGAGTCGCAGAGAGCGCACCCGCAAACTGGAGGAGCAGCACCTCATATTCTGCCTCGGGAGCCTATAGCCCAATGACCTAAACACTGATTTCACCAGTTTTAAAATCTCCCCACCCTCGGCCTCCCTTCATGTCCAACCCTCCCGCTCATCCCTGCCTCCTTGACCTGACGCAACCTGTCCATCTACTCTCCCACCTATCTGCCTGATCAATCCCTACCTGCACTCACCTATCACCATCCCACCTACCTTCCCCAGGCCCACCCCTCCTCTCTCTATTTATTTCCCAGCTCCCTTCCCCATTTCTGAGGAAGGGTCCTGACCCGAAACATCAACTTTTCTGGTCCTCTGATGCTGCTTGGCCTGTGTTCCTCCAGCTCCACATTGTTTTATTTGTTCTGAATTGGTTCTGATTTGGATGTAGCTAAGCACTTTAATTGTTCCAAAACCAGCTGTAGGTGGACTTTCCAAGGTATGCACTGTCCTGAATATCAGCCTGTGAGTTCTGTTACTCAATTCAGGCCCAGAGATTTTTGCTGTCTTGAGTCTGCATAACTGGCAATAACTACAGTGGCCTGACAGCCTGGGTCCTTGAAACATTTTTAACTGTTTGGCTGAGGCTTGACTTTGTTTTAGGGTTTTGCTGTGGGCTGACCTGGAGTCTCTCTCTGCTCAGGATATGTCCTGAGTGAGGCTATGCAATTACCTTCACTCAAGTGGCTTTCCCCAAGCTCAGTCAGCCTGGCGTGGGTGTCCACTTGTGTCAGAATAGCCTGTAACCTCAAGTCCACTTGCCACATTATAACTGACTTGGTCATTTAGATAATACCAGTTTCAAGTCCAGTTGTGCTTCAGCTAGTCGATGCTTTTGCATGTTCACATCAGTAATCGCACATACGAAAACAGTCTCAGCATCTCACTTAGAGTTAAACCGAAATCTCATGCCTTTGCCAGAAACCTTAATCTCATCAAAAATCCTGATTATGGATTCCACTGGTTCTTGAACTGCTGAGTAAAACCAATTTCAGCTCAGAATTAGAGGCGGCTTGGGATCATAATAGTCCTTAACTAAATCCAACAACTCTTGAAGGTTATAGTATCTGGTGCCTCAGGGAAATTAGGCTCCTAATAACTGAAAAAGCTGCAGGTCCACTAGCTGTCAGGAGAATTACTTGTTACTTTTCATCTACCCCAATGCCATTTGTCCAGGGAGAAAAAAAAAAAATCACATTCTTTCCATATACTGGGCCCAGTCAACAACAGCAGGATTGAATGAGTCCAGCTTCCCAAATAACTGCATGATACCAGAAATGCTTAGCTTGCCTCAAAGACTGACTGACTGAAACAACTCCACAAATGCTCATTCTATCAACCAAGTCATCCTTTGTATACACGTGTATAGTAGTTGACAATGAACCAGCAAGCTCCAAGCTGGCTCCTAGAGTGAACAGAACCTCTGATACTCCTGTTTACATTGGTCAGCCAGGACTCTGTAATTGGGGCTGTTAACCTGGCCCAATCAGAGAACTCATTCTGTGAGGTCCACTTGATTGACCTCTATCCAGTCACTACAGCACCACAACCAGATCAGCTGCAAGTCTACTAAATCATTTGAAGGACCAAATGACTTACACCTGTTAGTAAAATGCAGTCTGTTGTAATAAAGCAAATAAATAGATACATTCTACAGCCGTACAGGTGGAAATTTACATAATCATTGTTATAAAACCATTTCCTCAACAATACGTTAATTATTGTTGAAATCTCATCGATTAATTGTAGTAATTTTGTTTGTACTACCTTGGGTGTTTAAGTAAACAATACCAAAATATTTTAAATTTTCAAGTGAAAGGATCACGGTTAGAAATTCACCGGAATGATGGAGAAACTCTGCAAACTCAGCAGGACTGGCAGCATCTGTGGAGAGGGAAACAGTTATCATTTCCATTAACTCTGATTTCTCTTCACAGATGCTGCTAGACCTGCTCAGTTTCTCCAGTGTTGTTTAAGATTTCCAGCATCTGCAGTATTTAACTTTTATCACACTTAGCTTTTAGTACTTTGCACCCAAGTGAGTTTCTACATTGAAACATACACATTCAAATCCAACCCTATGCTGCAACTGGGGAATTCTAATATTTCAGCTGTTTTGGGTGTGGAGGAAACCAGAGATGCAGGTATCAAATCATACTTCTTACTGACATTAGTTAGCTAAATTTTGGCCTAATTATTAATGATGCTTTTCCTTTTTGAATTGTGGAGTTCCACTGAAGGGTTATTACGTAATTTCACTTGACTTGACTGTTGAAGCAGTAAAACATTAGAATATTAGACTGAGATCTAAGACTCCAGTTTGAGTCAGATTTTTAAAAAAAATAAATTGACTTATCCCTGGCATGGAAAGTATCAATTATGCCGAATTTTCAATGAAAACAGTTAATGAAGTGTGTTTGGGTGCCTGTTAACTGCTCAAGATTGAGTGTTGGTAGAAATTTCTGATATATCCTTTGACCAATGCAAAAAAATTGAGTGGAAAAGTCTTTATGGAAATCATTTTCTCTTATCTGGGAAGCAGACAAGAACTTTGCTAACTCTTCCCAAAACTGTAGGTACATGATGAAAGAAGCCACTTGCTAATCATATTTGTTTCAGATTTCCAGAGTATTATGTATTTTTTTTTATTTTGGTAATCTAACATTACAATGACTAAAGTAACTATCAAAGCTGTCTAAGTGAGTTCAATATTTAGGGTACTTTTGTGATCACAGAATTTGAAAAGTCCTTTTTTTTTTTGGAGGCTGCAGAAAATTTAAAATTGATTACATAATGCCTACATTGAGGGGGTAAAAAGGAGAAGATAATTAATGCGCGAGAACAAAAGGTTTCACTTTTAAGAAATCTATCTACACTGAATATGATTTGTTTGTTATCTCGTGTTGAAACTAGTCACAATTAGTCTTTACTCCACTGAAACTAATTTTATTAAGTATATCTATGTTAAGTTTTGGCATTATTGTTTATTAACCTGGCTAGAGCTTTTGAGCCAGTAAGGTGTGTGTGGTTGTTGTTGTTGTTGTTTAATCCTTGAATAGTTACTTTAACTATGCTGTGATGTTAAAAGTTATCATCACTATTTACATGAAAAATTGTAGTGCATTCGTTGAAGATACTGAATAGAAAATATTGATTCACTGGAGGTGAGGTAAATGCACACTAACCAAGATGCATTTGATTTCACAATATAACCCAACAGATGACGACAATTCAATTGGGCAGGTAACTGTGGCAGCGAGAGTGTGCTGCATTAGTGTCCACTAAAACATTTCCATTGAATTCCGCGCATAAAATTAGGAATAGTTGGTCCTCTTCAACTTGAGTGCTGTGCATAGATCAGTATATCCATTAGGGACTCAACAATTTCGCCTGTCTTTCAATTGGCATACCTAATTATGAATCTTCAAATAGCAAGCATGTGAAACATTATTTTTAAAGTTTAAAGCTCTAATTATTTTACACATGCAATTGACTTTGTGGTCCGTGGCTTGTGGTGTAATTAATGTGTTCTCGATCAAACTCAGACATTTTAATATAATAATCACTCTCCAGAGTCCAAAAGATTTCATGACATGTGGATCAGTCAATTTCTTCTTTTGGACAAAATTCGAGAATCAATTATTTTCGCTCTTGGGCATTTGTTTATAAATATAGATTAAGTTTCAGAGTTAGCTGCTGAATTTCATACAATCAAATACACAAATTACAAGCTTTAAGCAGGTAATTAGAATTTAGCAGTTGATATGAGTGTTAAAGGGATCCCTAAATTATCTGGTTAAGAGGAATTTCCACAGTCCTTTCTTTAGGTTTTGCCTGCAAAACAGGACATACAGAGCATTAGACTGTAGTTCTCACATGAGGTTCACTATACTCTGCATTACTCCATTAATCACAAAGATGTGTAATAACTCATCCAATAGGATGCTATGGTACTTGAAACATTGCATCATTTATTCCTCATTGATTCAGTTCTAAGTTATGTGATTATAAGGTGCAATTTCTATGGATTTGTCTTTGTGACTTGTATGTAATCTGTTTTATATGACAGGTCTGAAGGCTGGAGGAGCCTCTACTGGTGGTCCTGGTAATACGTTCCACTACACTTTTCATGGTGATCCCCATGCTACTTTTGCATCCTTTTTTGGTGGTTCCAGTCCTTTTGATATTTTCTTTGGCACTCCAGGACGCTCCAGAATGAGTGCTGACTTTAGTCATGATGACATGGACATTGATGATGATGACCACGATCCCTTCAACGCATTTAACCATTTTGGTTTCAATGGAATGAATGGATTTCACCGGCGGCATCCAGGCTCCCTCCATACTCGGAGAAAGATACAGGATCCCCCTGTCATTCATGAACTTAGAGTATCCCTTGAAGAAATCTACCATGGTTGCACTAAAAGAATGAAGATCACCCGTAGACGGTTGAACCCAGATGGCCGAACCACAAGGACCGAAGACAAGATTTTGAATGTTGTTATTAAGAAAGGTTGGAAAGAGGGCACAAAAATCACATTCCCCAGGGAAGGTGATGAAACAGCAACCAACATCCCAGCTGATATTGTCTTTATTCTGAAAGACAAACCTCATCTTCATTTCAAGAGAGATGGATCCAATGTAGTTTATGTCGTGAAAGTCACTCTTAGGGAAGTAAGTACAAAGAAATTTTCTTTTTTTTTTTAAAACTTATTATTTAGAGACTTTCTTGAAATCCTAGAATCTCTACAGTGTGGAAGCATGCCATTCAGCCCATCGAGTCCACACTAACCTTCTGAGGAGCATTTCTTCTCCCATCACTGATTAGCCATGGAAAATGCAGGCTTACAATCTAGCCTGCACATCCCTGGACACTATGGGCAATCTAGCATAGCCAACCCACCTAACCTGTACATTTTTGGACTGGGAGGAAAGCAGAGCACCCAGAGGAAACCCACGTAGAAATGGGGAGAATGTGCTAACTCCACACAGTCACTCAAGGGTGGAAATGGACCCAGGTCCCTGGCATTGTGAGGCAGCAGTGCTAACCACTGAGCCATTTCTGTGAACCAGTATTTATGCACTGAATTGATCCCAAGAAAGCCAGAGGTTGATTTATTACTTGCCACCCAAACAATAAAACTGAGCTTCTAGTTGAACAAGGAGTTGACTCTTTAAATTGTCAGGCATGGGGTTGAAAATGTTGGATCCAGCAGCTAATTGGAAGGCAAGCAGCTCCTTGATTTCAACTGTTGTCACTTGTATTTGGCTACCAGTTTTCTTGAGATTCAGGAAACCAGTAATCTAGCATTGTGATTTCCCAACTGAAATTTAATAAGGCACACAAGGTCATTGTCACAAACTCATCCCTTTGAAGCTGTATCTCACTTCGTCCCAATACACTGTCTATCCATTCTTTTCCTGGACTAGCCAAGCCAAGGCAGTTATTAACTTGTGGCTTGGTTATTCAGCTACAGAACAGCTCATCAGTTGCACAATAATTTCTTTCACAGACACATTGTTGAAAGGACTTACAGCTGCTGTTTACATGACCACAGTGTTTAAAATTTTCACACATTTCTAAAAGTGTCATTAGCGAACGTTTCCCTCACCTCCCAATTGTCAGTTAGAAATTTAGCTAGTGTTCCAAGTCTAGTCCCCTCTATTTTCCATGACTGTATCCATAATCATGCTTTTTGTTCTTGGCATGTCCACTGTAGAAATACTGACTCTGGTTACTATATCTGTAAAGTGTAAAATGAAAATGTTTGTCTTTGTCCCACACTTTCAAGTCAGTGTCTACAATTTCATTATACCTTGTGTCAGTTAAAATTCATGAATCACAACAATTCACAATCCTCGTTCAATGGGTTAAAGGGAAGGCAACAGAATGGTGGCCTTATTTCAAAGGAAAGGAAATGCTGCTTGGCCTGCTGTGTTCCTCCAGCTCCACACTTTGTTATCTCTGACTCTAGCATCTGCAGTTCTTGCTATCTTAAGGCACCAGTAAGATCTCTGCTGGAATACTGTGAACTGTTTTGGGCCCTTTGTTTAAGGAAAGATGTACTGGCATTGGAGGCTGGCTGGAGAAGGTTCACTAGGCTGATACCACGTATGGAGGGACTGTCTAATGAGGAGAGGTTGAGTAGATTTGGTCTGTATTCATTGGAACATTGAGAGGTGGGCCTATTGAAATGAGATTCTTAAAAATGGGGCATATGCAGAATGGCTGTTTCCCTGTAGGAGAACCCAGGACCAGGGGGCTTTATCTCAGAATAAGGAGTCATACATTTAAGTCAGACTGGGGGAAGTTCTTCTCTGAAGATACTGGATCTGTGGAATTCTTTAGCACAGAGTGCTTATGAGACTAAGTCATTAAGCATAATCAAGGTTGAGAATGACAAATTAATCAATAATGGGGTCAGAATTTTGGGGAACAGGCAGAAAATTGAAATTGAGAGTTATCAGATCAGCCATAACCAGTCAAGCAGACTGAATGGCTGATTTCTGCTTCTGTGTCTTATGGTCTTGATGTGATTGCCCCATCCAGGTAACTTCTTCAATGACCTTTTTTTTTATATATTCAGCAACCATACTTGCTTCCTGTTTTAGTAGGGTTTTTAACCTATGATATTGTGAAAATATCCTCTGATGTTAAGATGATCAGTGTTTTACACTGTCATTCTTACCTGATGCCATTAACACTTGTTGTCAGAATCTTTGCGTATTAGGTCTTGTTGAGTAGGTGCAATAATGCTATGATTGAGAGTACAATTGCATTATAATGTCCATTGTCAGTTTTCCATGCAAAGCTTGCTTAGCTACAAGGATATCTTCCTACAGACTACATTAGCACTAAAAGTGGCGTACTCCAGATAATTTGCATGGAATCACTGCCCCTAATGGCTTCCAATGTGTCCCCAGTCCTAAAACCATTGAACTTTCATATTTTACTTTGATCCTTAATGAGGATGTCTTGTGGCACAGTTGTTGTGTCATTATCTCTGGTCTAGGAGGCCCAGAGGTATGAATTAACACCTCTGAACAGGTTAATTAGAAAAAATATCATCTTTGATCCTTAACACTGTGTCTAAATAACACTTAACAATCTTTTCCACACACAGCCAGTGGTTGCACCTTTTACAACCACAGCAAGATTAAATGAATCCATGACAAATCCCTTCATTATCAGAATAAAGCTTTTTGTACCTAGTATAATGGCCTCAAATTGATCATTGTCATCATCAACTTGTGAATTGTGTCTTGCGTCTCTTCTAAAACCCTGCTGTTCCACTTTGGACAATTCATTGTATAATGATATTTTGAATCCCATTTAAAGCACCTATTGTTCCCTAGCCAATCCTGAGGTTTATTAGTCTATTGTTTATTGGCCCAATCTTGTCTTACGATCTTTTAAAATTGCCTTCATACTGATCCATTCTGTCTAACTTTTTCTGTTGAACTGATGTCACCAACCCCTACCTGAAAATTTTTGAAAAGTCACCCATCTCATTTAATCCAACAAGGCTGCTAGGAATGATCTTTTCCAAACAGACAACTGACACTGCAGTTAAGACCAGGAGGTGTCTCTAAGTCAGATCTAAATAATTCAGCAATTCAAAAATGAGTACCGGCCATCTTTTTTTTAAAAAATTGTTTGTTTGTTTTTTTTTCTTCCCTTCCCACCATCCTCCACCCCCAACCCTGCCAAAGTTTTTCTGCACTTTTGAAGTCCATAATCTATTTCTATCAGTCTGACTACACTTCAAAGTCATGTTTAATTGATCACCTTTCTTGTAAATTTGAACCGTGAACATGGTAGAAAATCCAAAGCTTTATCAGTATCTAACCAACTGGCATCCAGCTGGCAAAATACTTCTGATTTCACCTTCTTTTTGTTAAGAAGTGACAGTGCCTAAGGCATACTTATTTTCCCTTCATTAAATATGTAACCATGTCCTCTGTATATGCTTCATGGTCCCATGGTCATAAGGTTTAATTTGAAGAATATTGGTGGATAATCATACCCTAACCACTTACACTTGTTTCCAGCCATTTTCTCAAAAGTAACTCATCACAGCTTGTATCCTTTTGAGGGGCTAGAGAACACTTCCTTGGTTTCCAATCTTCATCTTGGGTAACCATTCCCTGCTACTGCATTATACTTCTGAGAGCCAGAGTGTGAAATAGAAAACCAAACGCTGAGCTTTCACTTGATACTAGATTTGTTTAGTGTGCAATACTACAAATGTTCCCATCAATCTTAAGGAAGAAGAGACTTTGAAGAGATGTTTGGGAATCACAGATTACTCAAGTAGGTTGTTGAGATTGCAAGTGTGTTTTAAGGTACTTTACTGAGTTTATTCTTAATAAATAGTTGAGATATGATGAACAACCTAAATAGACAGGAAAAGCATACATTAATATGATAAGGGGATCAAGGGTTATGGAAAGAAGGCAGAAGAATGGAATTGAGAAATATCAGCCATTATCAAAAGTTAGAGCAAACTTGATGCCTAATTCTGCTCCTATATCTTGTGGTCTTGAATCTTACAGACCTCGATGGCAGGTATATCTTGTCTTGAATAAAAGATGAAAATTCCCAGGTATTTCCAGGTGTGTTGTCACCAAGGCTCTGTACAACAAGACATCCCTACTGTTGTACTTGAACCCTCTTGCCATGAAGACCAACAACCAACAGTCTTCCTGACTGCTGCTATAAATTTAAAATGTTTGACTCTCTAATCCTGTGGCACAATTTGCAGATGAGTGTATCACTTCAAAACTCACTGTTCTTTGATAATCGTAACTTTAAGACCAAGTTTTACTTGCTCCAATGATTAATGATGCTACATTACTAATCAATACTAAGATGTATGAACTTGAGAGTGGTTAATGGATTCCAAAATGACACACAAAAATTACTGTGTTGTTCTCACTCGCGTGTGGCAACTGAGCATTTTGCTCTCTGCTGGAAAACTCTTCCTGCAGCTTTCCTCCATCTTCGATCCAACAGCTGCCTGATGATGACTACTGTCAATCTGCAAGCAATCATTTAATACAGCTTTATTTCCAGAGTTGTTTTAATTTACCCTCTGTCAAATCACTTGTTCGAACTTAATTACTAAGCAACAAGTATAGGACAGGTACCACGATGTCATGGAGAGCTTGACATTAGACCCCAGATGTTTCCATCCTCCTCAGCCTTGTTTATCTTTTGGCCCTGACTGACAAGTGCTTTTACCGTTTCTCTTGGGCATGTAGTCTACATCCCTAGCATCACACAGGTAGTGGGGCATCTTTTTGGACCAAGAGTGACTGCATTAGGGCCACTTCACAAGTTTGTGTGATTTATATAGCAAGATATTGTCTGATCATAGTAGCTATTATCCCTCAAGATGGCTTTGATGCGCCCTATTTCAGCATCAAGCTTGCACAGAGAATATCGACTTCCACACATCCTTGCATTTGTTTTCATTTAAATAATCAAATGTCCTCTTGAATGCCTGAATTGAACTTATCTCCCCCATTTAGAAGCAGTGCATTCCAGATCCAAACTACTTGCTGTGTCAATAAGTCTTCTTCTTGCATCATATTTATTTCTTCTGCAAACTATTTGTACTGTTGATCCATTAACAGATGCAAGAACTTTCATGCCTTGCCAGGTTTGTCTAAAGATCCCCCAATAGCAGTAGCAAAATGTCCCATAAGAACTTGCCCTTCTGTATTATTTTTCCAGCCACTCATTCATTTGTCTGTTCTTCTGTATTCACTTGCATTTGGCACTGGAATAACCTGAAGGTGACTACATTTGATGTCCTGCTTATTCACTTTCTCCCCTAAATTCTGATTGCAGGACCACATCCTCTTCCTACTTGGCTTCGCTGGTACCATTGTGGACCACAACCTCTGACTGTTCACCACTGTAGCTACTCTGGTATCCTAGATCATAACACCCAGGAAGTCAAACACCTTCCTGGTCATGTCTATAGCCACAAACACCTATCTATTCTCTTGTTTAACACAACCTCTGTCACTATTGTTCTTTGTTTCTTTTTCCTCCTATCCTGTACAGCTGAGCCACTCAATATGTTAAACATGACTCCATCTGCATCCTCATCAGCTTCAAAAGCAGACAAGCTGCAGTACCTACTTTTTAGCCTTGAACTGCTAGGTAGTCACTGATTCCCAAAATGCCTCTAGACATTGTGGTGTGACCTCTCTGAATGCACCTGAACCCCTAGGTCTCTCTGTTCTACAACACTACCCAAGGCCCTACCATGAATTGTACAAGTCCTGCCCTTGTTTGTTTTACCAAGATGCAATACCTAGCACTTATCCAAATTAAACTCCATCTGCCACTCCTCAGCCCATTGACCCAATTGATTGAGATCTCTTTGTAATCTTAGATAACCTTCACTGCCACTATAACCACCAATTTTGGTGTCATCCACAATTTTACAAACAGTGCCTCCTATGTTCTCATCCCAACCGTTTATATAAATGACAAACAGTGGACCAGTACCAATCCTTGTGGAACACTGCTGGTCACAGTCCTCCAGTCTGAAAAACAATCCTCCACCACCACCTTCTGTCTCCTATGGTCAAGCCAATTTTGTATTCAATTGGCAAGCTCGCCCTGAATTCTGTCAGAAGTCACAACACCAAGTTATAGTCCAATATTTGGAATCGCACCAGCTTTCGGAGTTCTGTCCCTTCGTCAGGTGCAGTGAGAAAGCAAGGCACACAGACAGAGTTGAAAGGCAGATCAAGGACAGAGAGATCAAAAGATCACACAACCTAGTGTGAGTGGAGTGTCAATGATACATCTCTGCAGGTGACCGGGAGTGTTAGACGGTGAGTAAAGTACTCTCTATCCACCAGTTGTGTGATCTGTTGATCTCGCTGCCTTAAACTCCTGTGTGCCTTGCTCTCTCACTGCACCTGACCAAGTGGCTGTGCTCCAAAAGCTTGTGTGATTCCAAATAAACCATTTGAACTATAACCTGGTGTTGTGTGATTTCTGACTTTGTCTACCCCAGTCCAACACTGGCACCTTCACATTATGCATTCTCTGTGATCTAACTTTACTAATCTGTCTATCAAGCAGAACCTCATCAAACGCTTTACTAAAGTCCATATAAACAATTTGCCTTTTTGGTTACTTCCTCAAAAAAAATCAAGTTTGTGAGGCATGATTTCCCTTAAACAAAACCATGCTGACTATCCCTAATCAGTCCATGCCTCTCCACATCCACCTCTGACAATTTATCCACCGCCAATGCCAGGCTCAGGTCTTCTCAGATGTGCTGCAGTGTCTCCAACTGCAGTGCGTGGTCTGAAACTCAGTTGAAGTTACTGCATCTAGTGACACTTCATGCACATGTGGTCATTTAGGACATTGGTAAGCCTCCCACATATTACAGGCTACATCTTCCACTCAATTGAGCTGTATTGCCATGTCTTAACTTTTTTATTTCCCTTGTGACAACTTTATTCTGCTTTGGATTACTTTTATTATACTGGCCCTGATTTTCTGTTATGCCTGGTGTTTCTCATTTAAATCAAAGTTTTGGCTACCTCTTTATAGTATGCTTTTCAGATTTACAGCAATTTAAAGACAATCCCTAATTTTGGATCAGAAATTGGCTAGCTGTAAGGAGACCGAGGGTGGTGATTGATGGGAAATGTTCATCCTGGAGTTCAGTTACTAGTGGTGTACCTCAAGGATCTGTTTTGGGGCCACTGCTGTTTGTCATTTTTATAAATGACCTGAATGAGGGCGTAGAAGGATGGGTTAGTAAATTTGCGGATGACACCAAAGTCGGTGGAGTTGTGGATAGTGCGGAAGGATGTTGTAGGTTACAGAGGGACATAGATAAGCTGCAGAGCTGGGCTGAGAGGTGGCAAATGGAGTTTAATGCGGAAAAGTGTGAGGTGATTCACTTTGGAAGGAGTAACAGGAATACAGAGTACTGGGCTAATGGTAAGATTCTTGGTAGTGTGGATGAGCAGAAAGATCTCGGTATCCATGTGCATAGATCACTGAAAGTTGCCACCCAGGTTGATAGCGTTGTTAAGAAGGCGTACAGTATGTTAGGTTTTATTGGTAGAGGGATTGAGTTTTGGAGCTATGAGGTCATGTTGCAGCTGTACAAAACTCTGGTGCGGCCGCACATGGAGTATTGCGTACAGTTCTGGTCACTGCATTATAGGAAGGATGTGGAAGCATTGGAAAGGGTGCAGAGGAGATTTACCAGGATATTGCCTGGTATGGAGGGAAGGTCTTATGAGGAAAGGCTGAGGGTTTTGAGGCTGTTTTCGTTAGAGAGAAGAAGGTTAAGAGGTGACTTGATAGAGACATACAAGATGATCAGAGGATTAGATAGGGTGGACAGTGACAGCCTTTTTCCTTGGATGGTGATGGCTAGCATGAGGGGACATAGCTTTAAATTGAGGGGTGATAGATATAGGACAGATGTCAGAGGTAGGTTCTTTACTCAGAGAGTAGTAAGGGCGTGGAATGCCCTGCCTGCAAAAATAGTAGACTCGCCCACTTTAAGGGCATTTAAATGGTCATTGGATAAACATATGGATGATAATGGAATAGTTTAGGTTAGATGGGCTTCAGATAGGTTTCACAGGTCGGCGCAACATCGAGGGCCGAAGGGCCTGTACTGCGCTGTAATGTTCTATGTTCTATGTTCTAATTATGGCCACATTTTCCAGTCAGTTCTTTTGTTTCTATTCATTCATGGAATGGGGGTCACTGGATGGATCAGCATTTATTGCCCATTCCTGATTGCCCAGAGGGCAGTTAAGAGGCAACCACATTGCTGTGGGTCTGGAGTCACATGTTGGCCAGACCATGTAAGGACGACAGAATTCCTTCCCTAAAGGTCATTAGTGAATCAGATGGGTTTTCCTGACAATTGGCAATAGTTTTATGGTCATCATTAGACTCCTATTTCCAGATTATCATTGACTTCAAATTCAACCATTTACCATGGCAGCATTCGAACCCAGGTCCACAAAACATTACCTGGGTCTCTGGATCAATAGGATAGCACTAATAGCTCTAGGCATTGTCTTCCCTCTGTAGTCAATTCAATTTGCGTTGTGAACTTATGCTTCCTGTGTCCAGGAATTGCGGCAAGTTTTCAGAGATTAGTAAGTAGCTGGCCACAAAAAGCATGTATTGTACATACAGGCTAAATTCCTCATAAAGATCAGTGATCTATATTCTAGCTCTGATTCTGAAATATCTTAGGAGAGCTAGGAATTTCTCAGGTACCTTGGATATTTTACAGCCACTATTTACTGAGTGACAAATATAAAATTGTGCAATTAAAAGACCCTTGTACATGACTTGAGTCAAGTCCTGACTTTCTAATTATTATTCTATAATGCCAATGTTATCTTTTTAACTTTAAATAATTTAATGTGAAATACTGCTGGGAAATGTCTATCAAGGCCATCCAAACACCAAGTCTGCATAGTCAAACATATTCTAAAATGAGTAATCTAATTATTTAACTATCCTAGATCGTTGGTGAACAGTTGACAGTTCACATCAACCTGGTGAATTTGCCAAGACCCTGGTCACCAAAGTAGGGATTTTGGTCATTTACAAAAAAGAATATTACAAAAAAAACCCCAAAAGAATTGCGGATGCTGTAAATCAGAAACTGCTGGAAAGGCTCAGCAGGTCTGGTAGTATCTGTGGAGAGAAATCAGAGTTAACGTTTTGGGTCAAGTGACCCTTCTTCAGAATGCCTCTTCTGACTAGATGTAACATAAGCTGAACACCATCTTATTATTAGTTAATTCATTTTGTAGTTTAACAGTGCTGTATGCAAACTTAGATCATAGAATCGCTACAGTGTGAAAGCAGGCCATGTGGCCTATCAAGTCTGCACTGATCCTCTCACCCAGGCCCACCCCCTTACCCTATAACCTCAAATTTCCCATGACTAATCCACCTTGCCAACATATCCCTGGACACTATGGGCAATTTAGCATGGCCAGTTCGCCTAACCTGCACATCTTTTGACTGTTCGCAAAAAAAACAGAGCACCTTGAGGAAACCCATGCGGGCAATGTGCAAACTCCACACAGAGAGTCACCCACAGGTGGATTGAACCTGGGTCCCTAGTGCTGTGAGGCAGCAGTGCTAACCACTGAGCTATAGTGCTGCCTCGACTTAGCTGCATCTTCAGAGAACATTTGAATAAATTTAAATAACTAGAGAGTCAAATATTTCCATCCTTTCAAAATATGAACTTTCGCTTTTCTGCTTGATTATTCAGAAAATTTATTTTGTTTTGTGCCCTCCTTAGATTGATCTGTAGCCAACCAAAGGGTCATTGAGAATGGCATAACTTCAGATGACTTGTAGCCATCATGTAACAATATAGTAACCGTTGGAGGGAGATGTCAAAGAGGAGTCTTGAGTTCTATGTTCAGCAGGACAGTCAATCTTTATCTGAGCTCTTTGTCACACGTGTGGGAGAGGTCAGAGACTGCACCCCATCTGGCCTTCACATGGGGCCCTGGTGCCCTCTTAATTAAGACTCAGATTGGAAAGGTCAATGACATGCTGGTTTCCCCAGTGGAATACAGCATTTGTATACATTTTACATTACAATAATTACATGCAACATTGATGTCATTGTTCCTTCCCATTTAATCTATACATCTAATCCTGTAAAACACCTGATCAATGATGGACAACCATATGGATGCCCTTTGGTTCCCTACGATCTCATGATGTTTGCCAGATATCATTATCATCAGGCCTTGAGATCTTATAATGTATCCCATTAATTCACATTCCAAAGTTAATGGTTATAATCTTTTTCAGACATTTCCAGACTTGCTTATCTCTAAGGGCTGCTCAAATTCTGTTATTCATTATATTCATTGCTATCCCTATCAAATTATGTAAATCATCTTATAGTTCCCACTGCCGCAATCATGGGAGACACAAGAAAATGCTAATTTCTCCTAATTGCTATAAAATTCATAATATCAGTTGTAGTATAAAGTTAGTTAGAAAGAGAGTTGTATGGTTACATGTAATGTTAGAATTCTTTAGCCATCGGATTGTGAGCAGCTTCTGACCTGGAAGGTCAGGTAAACACTGCCCCTCTATCTTGTAGCTGCACTATAACTCATACTAGTCACATGCTGTCTTTTAAGATGAAATTTATTGACCCTACTCCAAATATTTCTACTCTTACTCTTTTACCTAATAAGACATCTACTCCATTGATAATACTGAAACTCACCACCAGTTGCACAATTCAATAAACTTGTCCGAACTCCTCGGTTTTTACAAGACATAATCTCATCCTTCTTTGAAGTTATCACTTGTCTCTGTTATTGTGGGGTCATACTTTTCTTTTTAATTCTTGTTATGAACTTCAGGCTCTATTCCCAGACATCTCTTATCAGACGGTCTCTTACAGACATCTGCAACTGTGGTTTGTACAGAATTCCCTGTATATTAATTTGTAAGATTTTTGTTCAAAATAGACCCTGCTACATTGGATTTATCTCCTTCTCAAAGCGACCATTGTGCTTACTTTTTTGTTATTGCGACTAAAAATCTCCACCATTTTTATTCCAACGGGCAGCCATATTATGCCATTTCTGACCATGGACTACCCCAACAGTAACAATACATCAGTTGCTTGAATTCTGTTTCCGCAAGTCATTTGTGGTAAATAAAGTTTAATGAGTACCTGCAGGGCATTCAGTCATTTTTTAAAAACATATAAACTTTACACAGTGCATCTTAAAAAGAAAATTCTGGTGGAACAGTGCTATTAAGTCATTATGTGGTGCAGATTTTTTTTTTTAAATTTAATTTATTTTATAATCAACCAATCAGAGATGTTATTACACACTTCTGGAGCAGCAGGGAATTGAACCCAGGTCTCCAGTCCAGGGTAGGACACTACTACTGCGCCACAAGAGTGCTCCCCTTTTGTAGTTGGGGTATTTTTAAAATTAACCTATTTTTCCTAGTTAATCTGTTCAGAGATATTACTGCACACCTCCAGGGCAGCTTGGACTTGAACCCAGGCCTCCCGGTCCAGGTATAGGGACACGGCCACTGCATCATAAGAGGACCCTCACTATGTAGTATAGAAAGACCCAATTTTTGTTTGACATACTTGTTGACCATGAGCTCTTAAATACTGGCTTGATGCCTTTATCACTCTGACATTGACAATTTGTCATTATTTTGAAAGGCTCATTGACACTCTCAACACCCACCTATCTTACTTAAGGCTGTTTTTAATGTGTAAGGATTTAGGTTGCCATTTTTCAGTATTACTGCTTAGTAAGTAACACCGCCCGAAGATCTCCCAATCCAAACTGTACTCACGAAGTTGTCCAACTGGGCAACCTGATTTTGTCCAGCCTGAATGCAGGGAGATGCCTTAGAATACCTATTGGCACCATAAAGTATAAGGCCAAACCTTCAAAATTATGACCATTTGTTCACTATGGGTACAGGAGACCACTGGCATGACTGTTGCCATTCAGCTGCCCAAAAGTCAAAATAAATCCCAAGTATTTCAGAATCAAGTATCCATACATATTCAATAACTTTTCATTTTAACCTTGCAAATGTGCAAATATCTTCAGGGATTGATGCTGCATTCTTTAGAAATGTTGTTTAACATCACTCATTCACTCACTCTGACACATCAGTAACTGTCACTTCTAGATTTTTTTTAAAATTAACCTGTTCAGACATGAGGTTGTAGAGTTGTTCACTGAGCCGGTATGTTTGATTGCAGACGTTTCAACACCCTACTAGGTAACATCGTCATCAGACTTGAACCCCATTCCAATGTCTTAGACGACTCAACTTCTGCAACTGTTCACTTAGAAGCTTTAGCAGATTAAAAAGAGAATTGAACTGTTTTTTTCTGAAGCTGTCTCAAACATTGGTCCCAATGGGAACCAGCAAAGTTTAATTTTATATTTCTTCTATGCATGGAAAATAGAAGTCTTCAAATTAGTAATGTAAAATCCTTCGCCACACAATAGAGGATGACACTGAGAGTCTAATAATCTTTTTTCACCTCTAGGTGGCAAGTGCAAAGAAAAATACCATGCATACCAAAAAGTGCTACACCCTCCAGAATTAAGGAAAATATCGAGGTAACATTTTTGTTAATGACATAATATTTGTAAACTTCAATTTTAGACATGAGTATATAATTAAGAATATTTATCATGCTTCAGAATGAATAATGCAAGACAATTACAGTCACTGGAAGATGTTAAACATGTATGCTTGGCATAACAACAAGAACTACTTGCATTTACCTGTAATGCTTCATGGAACAAGGAGAAGTTAGGAGTGGTGACCAAAGGTTTGTTCAAAGAGGCAGGTTATAAAGAGATGGAGATGTAGAATGAGTTTGGAAGGAAATCCAAGAATCCATGGTATCTAAGCAGCTGATGGCATAGAACCCAGTGGCACAGTGAATGAAAGGAAATTTACAAGAGGCCAGAGGAATTAAGAATTCTACAGGAGAAAAGTGTAGGGCTGAAGAAAGTTAATTAGTTAAACGAGAACAGGAGATCTAAGGTTTTGGAGTAGATTTGTAGCTCGGGTTGTGGGTGTTGAGGTTGGCTGGCTCGCCGAGCTGGTTTCTTGTTTCGCAGACATTTCATTACCATGCTGGGTAACATCCTCAGTGCAGCCTCCGATGAAGCGTCAGTGTGTTTTCCTGCCTGGTTTTTAAACTCTGGGGTCCATTGAGATGGATTGCCTCACTTCCGGTTTTCCTTAGTAGTGGAATGTATGTGGGGTCGAGTTCAATGCGTTTATTAATGCTTCGTGGAGTGCCAGGCTTCTAGGAATTCTTGTGCCTGTCTATGCCTCGGCTGTCCCAGGATCTTGGTGTTGTCCCAGTCGAAGTGGTGGTTCTCCTTGACCATGTGGATTGAGATGAGTGAGTATTGGTCGTCTCTTTTTGTAGCCAGTTGGTGTTCATGTACCCTTGTTGTTAGTTTCCTTCCTGTTTGTCCGATGTAATGTTTCTCGCAATCTCTGCAGGGGGTCTTGTAGATGACATTGGTCCTGTCCATGGCGGGGAGTGGGACTTTCATTCAGGTGAGCAGTTGTCATAGGGTTGACGTGGGCTTGTGTGCCACTCTGATGCCCAGCAGTCGTAGGAGTTTTGTGGTGAGTTCCGATGTGTTCCTGATGTAGGATAGTGTGATGAGTGTGTCGGGGAGTGTAATATCTTTCTGATGTTGTTCGTGTAGGCATCTTCTGACCCAGTTCTTTGGATATCCATTATCCTTGAAAACCTGGAAGAGGTATTCTTCTTCCTCTTGGCGTAGTTCCGTGTTGCTGTAGTGTGTTGTTGCCCGTTTAAATAGTGTTTGCACGCAGCTTCGTTTGTGTGTGCTGGGATGGTTACTGTTGAATTTCAGTACCTGGTCTATGTGTGTGGCTTGTGTGTACAAGAGTACATGAACATATACATTCCAATACAAAGGAAAAGTGAGGCAATCCATCTCAACAGACCCCAGAGTTTAAAAACGAGGCGGGAAAACACATTGACGCTTCATCAGAGGCTGCACTGAGGATGTTACCCAGCATGGTAACAAAACATCTGCAAAACAAGAAACCAGCTCGGCGAGCCAACCAACCTCAAAGAGAACAGGAGATGTCATAAAGGGAAGCAGATGAAAATATTAAATTTTGAGGGTTTGTTGGGACCAGCAGCTGGTTTAGGTCGATATGGAGGGGAGAAATATGTAAGCATCAATTTTGGATGAATAGCAGTTTAATCATCCTGAGAATGTAGCTGAGAAGGGGTTGGAATGTGGCAAGGGAAAAGATTTTGTGGCTTCTGCCTACCCGAAGTGTTGCTAGAGGAACTTGCACCTAATAATATTCTAAATAACAGACAATAGTCTCATAACACAAGAGACGACGGAAAGATTGAGAGAAGTAGACCCAGTCATCAGCCCCTGTCTGTGAATGGTGCCACCATGGGGCACTCAATAATAGGAAGAAAGAAATGGAGCCAAATATGAATCTTTGAGGTATCAGGAGGTAACAATGTGGTTGGGAAAGAAACTACTATTATGCATGCATTGTTTACAATCAAAAAGATAAAAGTGAATCAAGCAAGGACAATCTAATTTACCTGGACAGAAGAGGGAAGATGAGGCAGTTGGTTTGCTCAACTGCGTCAAGGGTTGTAAAGAAGATAAGGAGGGATAGTGTATCATGATCATCACAACTGATGTCATTTATTACTTTGCTTAGGATCATTGCAATGCAAGGATGCAGACATGCAGTAAAAGGAAATGCATGTTGAACCAATTACCAAACTGCTAGTGGATGTTTACAAAAACATTATTTTCATTAAGGACCACAAGGAACAAATAATCCTGTTTTCAGATTGACTGGCAGATTTACAAAATTATCAAACCCAATGAGGTCACTCTATGGAGCCCTGGATATACACTTCTGGAAAAGGAGTTGTTGAGTGGAAAAATGATTTCTATAGTTAAACTAATTACATCAAATTTTGCTTCAGGAAGCTCAGTAATCAGGCAGTGGGACTCCTCATAGTGTGTTATGATCCCAGCTGATGGTAACATTGGACAAATATTCCAGAATGAAACCTGACCTTGATACACCCAAGTTATTATTTTTGCAATTTGCTTTCTGTAATGGTTAGTCACTGAACATATCCACACAAATCTGCCAAAGTACTTTTTAAAAAAACACAAGTTTATTACACAAAAGAATACAAGAATTTTGAAAGATGTCATAAACAGCAAAATAAAAGATTTAATCCTTTTTTCCTGCACTATTCTTTGTGGAACACTCAACTCAAAGAAGAATCATTTCTACCTTCCTTTTAAAATGTCTTACTCGGTTGATGAGGTCACAAACATTTCCTTTTAGTGTATATTTGAATATTAATGAGAAACAATACCCTCCACCACTCCCAAGACATACAGACAGGCTAACTCACTAACTTTCCTTACTGAACTCTTAAAAAGAACTCAGAACTTTTACCAGGCCTGTCTATTTGGACTAGAGTCCTCTTTCCAGTTTTGATAATCTGGAACTGCCAAAACGAAACTGCCTGTCTGCTGGTATGGATCTTTTCTTCTCAACTGAACTCACTTGAGGCCCCGAGCCTCTCCTTCTGTAAGTCATAAAAACACAACTTTAGCACTATGGTGAGATAACACAGTGTGGAGCTGGAGGAACACAGCAGGCTAGGCAGCATCAGAGGAGCAGGAAAGCTGACGTTGCGGGTCAGGAGCCCTCAGGTAATCCAGCAATGGCAGTTCTTACTATCTCTCTTTGAATTACAACCCCATTGTGAAGCCTGTTCTAGGGATGCCCACCTTGAAGAAGTTATCTTCCTCCCTCCAGAAAGACCTCAGTGGATCTCTCTCCCACTGCAATCCTCTGCTAATTCAGCATCGGCAGTTCTTACTATCTCTTTCAGCACTATGGTCCCTAGGTAGTTTATCCAGTCATTCAGCGCAAGTCACATACCTTCTTCGAAATTTTTTTTTGAACTCATTGTTTAAAATGAATTTCTGGCCTTTGAGAAGAAAATCACCTTCACAGAATGAAAACTTTAAAAATCTTAAGAATTCAAGATCTCAAACAATGACACATATTAAACCTTTACCACAAGTGCAAAAGCATAGATTCTCATTTGAGGCTTAGTCCAGCAAACATTATGTAAAACAGCATATATCGAGTGAGGTCAAAGCTGCATTCCAACCTCAAGGTTATGAGTCAGATTTCAAATACTGTGTATCCTTGCATTACTTAGATTGTGAGTCACATTGAGACTCCAGTTGCTGTAAATATGTTGAAGAATTAGGATAAGACATCTCAACCAGAAATGGAAACTTATATGAACATGGTGAAAATTATAAAAAGGTGAAAATTGACTTAAGTTCTTTAATAAAAATCATTCTTGGGACGTGGCATCATTTGCAAAATGAGCATTTAATTGTCCATTTCTAGTTGCACTTGAGGTGTTGGTGGTGAGTTGCCTTCTTGCAATGGTGCAGTGGTGATGGTATTCCCACAACACTGATAGAGAGAGATAAGGGTATTGACCCAACAAGAATATAAATATGTTGAAGTCAGGCAGCACGTGACTTGGAAGACAGTGTGCCAGACTGTGCTGACCTATTTTGCAAAGTGGACATTGTAGACATCAGAATAAATCATTGGATTAATGTTTTTAGTATTTTCTATTGGTTCCTATTAAAGAGCTTTGGACATAACCAAATTAAGAGTTTCCTTTACAGTTTTGTGTGAATCAGTGTAGATATATTAACAATATAAAATGTTGGACTCAAAAGTTTATATAATAGGAACATAATATATATCTTATAAAACAGGTCTTCGATTTCATGTTGTCAAAGGAAGATATGAAACAAATTGAATCCTTTGATTGCAATGGAAGGTTGATTGTACCAACAATAGAAGTAAGTTATCAGAAAAAGTAGACTTCATAGTTATGTCTTTAACCGGAGACATATATAAAGACCAAAGAAAGTAACTTGCTTTGCAACAAATGGCTTTAAACATGCAAATTCCAGGACATTTTAAACCTTGGGGACCCTCCAATATGTTGCTGGAACGGGAGGGTTTGAGTTATAGGGAAGGGCTGAATAGACTAGGGCTTTTTTGCCTGGAACATCAAAGGCTGAGGGGTAACCTTATAGAGGTTTATAAAATCATGATGGGCATGGATAGGGTGAATAGCCAAGGTCTTTTTCCTAGGGTGGAGTCATCCAAAAGTAGAGGGCATAGATTTAAGGTGAGAGGGAAAGATTTAAAAAGGACTTGAGGGTAACTTTTTCATGCAGAGGGTGGTGCATGTATGGAATGAGCTGCCAGAGGAAGTGATGGAGGCAGGTACAATTACATTAAAAAGCATCTGAATGGGTACATGAATTGGAAGGGTTTAGATGGATATGGGCCAAATGTTAGCAAATGAGTCTAGGTCAGATTGGGATATCTGTTTGGCTTGGACAAGTAAGAACCGCTCCCCCCCCCCCCCCCCCCCCCCTCCCCCGAAGGCTGTGTTTCCATGTTGTTTGACTCTATGCATGTACGGCTCAAAGATGCCAAAAATGACATGGCACTTGTGTTGAAATGGGATTTCAGTTGGTATGTGGCCACACGAAGGGTCTGAAATGTATTAACATAAGCGCTTCCTGGTTTGGAAAGAAAACGTTATAAATTCTTTAAAAATTGTCTTGCTTGGATATCTTTAAGAGTAAAAATTGGAAGCAGTGTGGGTACAATAGTTATAATCAGGATTTAAAAATACTGCAACTCCTCCGGGCTGGTTTGTGGGAAGTCTTCAGAACCATAATGTTTTGTATCATTGTACAGTTTACCTTTTCATGTGCACCAAAGTGCTATGTATGCTACCATGTCTCTCATTGTGCTGTGCATCTTCCATTGTAGGATAAATGGTCCTAGTTCTCGTCTTCTCACATTCACAGTGGTGCTGTGTATCCTTTCACATAAAATAATGTTATGTATTCTTCCATGTACCATGCTGCAATGTATCGTGTGTACCATAGCAATATGTATTCTTCCACATGTCAGGTTGCACGTGTGTCTACATGGGTTTCTTCTGGGTACTCTGGTTTCCTCAGGTCCAAAGGTGTACAGGTTAAGTGGACTGGCCATGCTAAATTGCCCTGTTTAGCCTTGTAGGCGAAGTGGATTAGCCATGGTAAATGTGGAATCACCGGGATAGGGGGAGGTGCTGGGTCCGGATGAGATGCTCTTTGGAGGGTTGGTATGGATTTGATGGCCCAAATGGCCGCTTTCCATACTGTAGGGATCCTATGTCATGGTGCTCCACATATTCCATGTGTACCGCATCACTATGTATCATTCCATGTCTGAGTGGATAAACAACTGACCTTTGAGCCACCCTATAACGGACCATCTTGGTGGTTTACCTTATTAAACCCCTACCCCAACCCAAGCCTCCTCCTACTTGGCACCCAATGAATTTCTTAGTGGACAGTACTCACTGCAAAAGGTTCACTGAAATAGATATAGAAATGGAGCACAAAGTTTAGCCAATCTACCACTTGCAACATCAGTTTATTTGTGTGTTCCAACAACCTGTGATGGAAATAAAAAGCAAAACAAAAATGTAAATGGTAGGAATCTAAGAAATACCAGATGTTGGGAAGTGAGTGAGCATCTGTTGAGAAGAGAAAACGTTGCAGTTGAGTTGCAAGAGTTGCAGTATTTTAAATCCTGATTATAACTATTACACCCACACTGCTTCCAATTTTTACTCTTAAAGATATCCAAGCAAGGCAATTTTTAAAGAATTTATAACGTTTTCTTTCCATCTCAGCTGTTGAAAGAGCAGTTTAGACACCTGCCTCTGTGCAGAAATATACTCACATCGGAGAGCCACTAATGCAATGTGACACTTGTCAGAAATAGTATGGGTTCTAATTGATCTTTTACTTTTGTAGAGAGACGGTATGAGAGTTTGGAGAGATTCAAGTCATCCATACTTCCCTTTCAACGAGCCTTACTGAAGATTATACAGATTCCAAAAATATCCAGAACACATATTGGAAATGTTCCTTATAAATCAACTTTGAAATTAAATCTTCTTAAATTGGTGGAGGAATTTAAAAAAAAAAGGAGAAATAATTTCAATGTCATGGATATAAACATTAAAATTATTAAAACTTAACTGATTTCTACTGGACCTGGTTGGCTAAGGCAAGTAAAGGTGACAAACTTTACTTAAATTGATAATCAAACAAAGTATCAATTATTTCTAAGCAAATTAATAAATGAACATGGCACCTTCATCAGTAATACTGAGTGCAGATTTTGAGTGAGTATACAGAAACAACACATAGGATCCAGAACTTCCAACAAGAATATACTTGTGTAGAATATTCTTATGCATACTGTAATGTAAAAATTTAATCATTTTTACTGTCTTCAGCAAATTAAACATTAAATAAATTGTTCAAAACTAAATGTAAAAGTGGTGTTTTTCTTCAATATGCTATTTCACAATGCGTTGAAATTTAAATATACCAAATATAATTTCATTACATAATATACTTGCATCAAGTATGTCCATTTTTTAAAAATAGAATATTAAGCAAAAATCTTTGAAAAGTGTGTCATAAATCAAAAAATAATTTAAGTAAAATAAATGTCCATTACTATGAAAACGAACAATTTACTATGGCTTTGAATTTATTTCCAATGGTTGGACATAGAGAGCTTAGAATGGAATTTGGAAAATGGTCTTTGGTTTGTAGCAGCATACAGTACCCATTCTAGTAAAAGATGGATCATGTCCTTTAAATTTATCTTTTTTTTTCCAAAATTCATGCTGACTCCCAATAAAATTACTTCTGATGCATTCAAAACTTCTGAACCTGTACTATACACTGAGATTAAGGTTTATACTTTAGAGAGGCTAGACCAGTTCAGGCAAAGAAGGGTTAGTAGTACAACCTAAAGATGCAATATAATGGGCATGCTTTCTATCTCTCCCTCACCACATTTAAAAAAAACTTCAAGAGGTTACCATTAACATTGAGGAGGATCAATTAGCCCCTTTGCTCACATTCTTCATTTGCAAGCATGTCTTAATTCTTAGCCTGATATGCTGGCAACCCATTCAAACATCATTTAATTTGTAAATGTTTTCATGAATCTGTCATCAATCCTATTAACGATCACCAATTAATATTTAGGTTAAGTACATCACATGGCAAGAAACAAGCATATACAACATGCATATTCCTCATAACAAGAGGGAACTTGTGCTTAGAAGTGGAGGATGTGGGTGAGATCCTCAATGAGTACTTTGCATCAGTTTTCACTCAGGAGGAGGATGTGGAGGATAGTAAGATTTGTGTGGAACATGCTAATATGCTAGGGCATTTTGAGATCAAGAAAGAAGTGATGTTGGATCTCTCGAAGAGCATTAAAGTGGATATGTCCCCAGGGCCCAGTGGTATCTACCCCAGATTTTTGAGAGAGGCAAGAGAGGAGATTGCTGGGGCCTTGACCAAGATCTTTGTACGCTCGCTAGCCACTGGAGAGGTCCTGGAGGACTGGCAAGTAGCTAATATTGTTCGTCTATTCAAAAGAGAAATAGGGATAATCCCGGAAACTATAGACCAGTGAGTTTTGCATCAGGGTTTAGGAAGTTATTGGAAAGAATTCCTTGGGATAGGATTTATGCACATTTGGAAAAGGAAGGCCTAATTAGGGACAGTCAGCATGGCCTTGTGCAGTGAAGGTCATGTCTTACTAACGTGGTTGAATTTTTTGAGGAGCTAATGAAGATGATCAATAAGGGTACAGCAGTGGATGATGTTTACATGGATTTTAGTAAGGCTTTTAACAAGGTCCCTCAAGGTAGGCTCATCCAGAAGATTAAGATGTGTGGAATCCACGGTGACTTGGCCGCATGGATTCAGAATTGACTTGCCCATAGAAGGTAGAGAATAGCGGTAGAAGGTTGTTTTTCAGGCTGGAGACCCTGAGTAGTGGTGTTCCGCAGGAATCCGTACTGGGAGGTCTGCTGTTTGTGATATATATAAATGACTTATATGAAAATGTAGATGAGTGGGTTAATAAGTTTGCAGATGATACAAAGATCGAGGAGTTGTGGATAGGATAGGTTGTCCAGGGATACAACGGGATACAGATCAGTGCAGATATGGGCGGAAAAATGGCAGATGGAGTTTAATTAAGTTCAAGATTCTGTACTTTGGGAGATCAAATGTTAAGAAAAAGTATAAAGTTAATGGCAGGACTCTGAACAGCATTGACAGACAGAAGGATCTTGGGATTCAAGTCCATAGCTCCCAGAAAGTGGCGATGCAAGTTGGTAGGGTTGTGAAGAAGGCGTAAGGCATGCTTGCCTTTATTGGTCGGGGAACTGAGTACAGGAGTCAGGATGTCATGTTGCAGCTTTTTAAAGATCCTTTGGTTAGGCCATATCCAGAATACTGCATTCAATTTTGGTCACCACATTACAGAAAGGATGCGGAAGCTTTTGAGAGTGCAGAAGAGATTTACCAGGATGCTGCCTGGATTAGAGGGTATGAGCTATAAGGAGAGGCTAGAAAAACCTTGTTTTCTTTTGAGCGTTTGAGGCTCAGGGGAGACTTGATAGCAGTCTATAAAATTATGAGATGCGTAGATAAGGTTGATGGTCAGAATCTTTTTCCCCCAAGAGTTGAAATATCTAATACTAGGGTGCATGCATTTAAGGTGAGGGGGAAAGTTCAAAGGAGACATGAGGGGTAGGTTTCCTACACAGAGAGTGGTAGGAGTGTGGAACGCCCTGCCAGGGATGGTGGTTGAGGCAAATAGTACAAGGGCATTTAAGGGACTTCTAGATAAGCATATGACTATGCAAGGAATGGAGGAATATGGACCAAGGGCAGGCAGATGGGATTAACTTCATTTGGCAGCACGTTCGACCCAATATCATGGGCCAAAGGGCTCGTTCCTGTGCTGTACAGTTTTATGTTTGAAGACAACCCAGAACACAAAAAAGATCAGGCTATGGGCAGTGATGGCAACCCCTGGACTTCCAAGCTCTACCACGTAGGAACCATGAAGCTACTCAGGAATCACATTAGAGAGATAGCTCGAGGATGACACATTTGGATGACACATCACCTGCAAGTCTGGAATAATCCTCTATGATAAAAGGTTAGCATTGTGGTGATCTTCATGGTCAGTGCAGTTCCTACAATGAAGGTCAATGGTAGTGAGGTCGCAGCAAGTGGCATTACTAATTTGTCACCATCACTACAAATACTATTTCTGGTAGTACTATGTAAGAGTGCTGTACTTTGTATAATCCAGAGGAGGAAGATGGTGGGTTGCCGTCATATCTCCTTTAGGATATCTGACAAGCTTGTTTTATTTTCTTATTCTCATTCATTCTCCATTAAAAGGCACAGAGGTATTTGCAATTTTAATCCTGTTTTAACCTCCATAGAAAGTGTGATGACGCAATCATGAAATTCCCACTTTAATAGACACAGCGGGAGATACTGAAGCAATGAACAGTATTGGTATCAGTTATTATATTTAAAAGTGACATGTACCGAGCAACACTGAATGCTTCTTTGAATCATTTATTGCCACGTGTATTCAACGTAAAAATACATTGAAAAGTGTACAGCGAATGTACATACACGGCACCATTCACATCAACATTTTAGAATAAGATAAGAAAAAGAAGCTTAAATGAATGCAACCTTTCTTTCCACTGCCGCAGTCCCAATCCGGGATTTCCAGCCAACGTCATGCCTCAGCCAGCGTCTTGCTCTGGGCTGCCTCACGGGGTACATGAGAAATATGTTTTCTTTTAATGATAGCACTGACTGAAACAATGTATAATAAAGGAAAACACAGATCTGTGGTACTAGTATTCTTGCAATTTTTGACATTTTATAGCTATCACATGAAGATTATACCTTTTTAATTAAAAAGTTTAAAACATAAAATGATACAAAAATTCATCTGAGACAACAAGGTGCAGGGCTGGATGAACACAGCAGGTCAAGCAGCATCATGCT